CTGGGTTGCGGGCACATCCCCAGTGGGAGATGTGCTAGCCCCATTTCTTGCCTTTCTATTTCATATTCTCTATGTTCTAGCCATAACACAGCACAGCACAGCCAATCTCCTAAATGTATTGTGCTCTCTCAGTTTCACGCCTTCACACTTTTTCTGTATGTTTTCATAATAGTTTCATGGAGGTAATTCATATGCTGTACAGTTAACCTGTTCAAATTGTATGATCCAGTGTTTTCTTTCTATATTCACAGAATTGTGCATCTTTTTACACAATCAATTTTGAAACGTTTTCATCATTCTTCAAAGAAACCCTGTATCCATTAGCAGTCACTCCTCATTTCCTTCCACCTCTCCTTGCCAGCCCTAAACAACCACTAATCTACTTTCTGTCTTCATAGATTTGCCTATTCTGAACATTTTATGTAAACGGAATCATATAATCAATATGTGGTCTTTTGTGACTGGCTTCTTTCCATATTTTCAAGGTTCACCCCTGTTGTAGCATGAATAAGTACTTCATTCCTTTTTGTGACCAAATAATATTCTGTTGTATGGCTATGCCACATTTTGTTTATCCATCCATCAGCAGATGGACAGTTGGTTGTTTCCACTTTTTGACTATTGTGAATAACTAGAGGCCCAGTGCACGAATTCATGCATGGGTGAGGTCTGGCCGGCCTATCTTGATGGGGGCCGATCAGGGCTGGGCTGGTTGGGGGAGGGGCCATGGGAGGTTGAGGGGTGCCGATTGGGGCCCCCAACCTCACATGGCCCTTCCCCTGGCTGGCCTAGCTGCAGTGCACGTCATAGCAACTGGTCATTCCGGTCGTTCCAGTCGCTTGGCTTTTATATATATATATGCTGTGATGAACATTTGTGTACAAGTATTTGTGTGGATATATGTTTTCACTTTTCTTAGGTATAGAACTGGGAGTAAAATTGCTGGGTCATATGGATGTTTAACCTTTGGAGGATTGACCAAACTCTTTTCCAAAGCAGCTGTACCATTTTACAATCTCTCTGGCAGTATATAATAGTTCCAATATTTTCATTTACTTGCCAACTTTTATTTATTATTTATCGTGTTATTATAGTCATCATACTGGATGTGAAGTTATCTGTCACTGTAGCTTTGATTTGTATTTTCCTAATGAATAATGATGTTGAATATATTTTCATGTGCCTACTGGCCATTTGAATATTTTCTTTGAAAAAATGTTTATTTGGCCCAGCCAGCATGGCTCAGTGGTTGAGTGTTGACCTATGAACCAGGAGTCATGGTTTGATTCCCTATCGGGGCATATGCTCGGGTTCCTGGCTTGATCCCCAGTGTGGGGCATGCAGGAAGCAGCTGATCAATGATTCTCTCTCATCATTGATGTTTCTCTCACTCTATTCCTCTCTGAAATCAATAAAAATATATTTTTAAAAAAGAAACGTTTATTTGAATCCTTTATTCATTTTAAAGGATTATTTGTCTTATTATTTAGTTGTAAGAATTCTTTATATATTTTAGATGCAAGTCCCTTATCAGATATATTTAGGTATTTGATCCAATTTGAGTAAATTTTTGTGCATGATGTGAAGTGGTAAGTATGTGCAATTTCATTCTTTGCATGTGGATATTCAGTTCCTCCACACCATTTGTTGAAGAGATTATTGTTTCCCCACTGAATTTTTTTAGCATCCCTGTCAAAAATCAATTGATCTTAAATGTGAGGTTTTATGTCTGAACTCTCAGTTGTATCCCATTGATCTATATGACTACTTCATGTTTTTCTAACTTTTGTTTTAGAATGTCTTATCTGCCCTTCCACCTGGGTAAACTACTTCATGATTCTTTTACCAAAAGCTTTCTTTTCCCTAGCATATCTTTGGCATACCTCTATATACTTACAGCATAGTGCTGTGCTCATCACTCTTCTGTGGCATGCATATATAATATACACGCATATATATTCTTCAGTAGTTAGTAAGCTTTTGGAGAGTAGGGATTGGACTTTCATATATGAATCCCAGAGCTGTCCATTTCTAGTTGCCATCAGAAGATTGAATAGACATTTTTATTTATTAATTGAAATTTATTATACCTTTCTTTTTTATTTACTCATCTGTCAGATACTTATTAAATGCCTGTCATGTGCCAGGCACTGTTCTAGGCTCTGGGGATACAGCAGCAAACAAAACAGTCCCCTGCACTCATGAAGCTTTCATTCCAGTAGGGGGAAACAGATAATATACAAGTAGTTGGATGGTTGCCAATAAAACCAGCAAGGAAATCCATTTTGCAAGAAAGGGGGTCAAGACTGGTGATACAGAATTTGCAATTGTCTTCAAAAAGTTGATACTTTAAACTATATAGTAATAGAATCACTAAGAAATTTGAGTATATAAAAAGAACATGACTGCAGAGAGAGTCTTCAGAATATCCAAATTTGGGGAGGGGGGTAATCTAAAGGTAGAAAAACCATAAGAGTAGAATTCTGGAAACCAAGGGAAAAATAAATAGAATGGTAAAGGTGAATTAAGCCTAAGAACAAATTATGGATTCAGATTGTTAGGTAGTCATTGATAATCTTAAGAATTAAGTTTCAGGAGAGTTGTTGGAGCCAGATTTTGAGTCCTCCAGGGAGAGGTCAGTGGGGGGAAAAGGAGACATGTAATACTTTAAACAGTAAATAATTTAAATTAAAATAAATAAATTTTAAGAGAGAGATTGAATCCTAGGACTTTTTTGCAACAGTGGAACTGTGCTATGATTTTTTTCTTACTCCTTAATGCTGTATCCATAAATGAGGAATTTAAATGTATACACGTAGATGGTGTTTTTTTCGTTGTTGTTTTTTTTTTTTTATCTCTGTAGGACTTCTTTTTTCCCCCCTGAGAGACCTAAAAATTTATTCCATAAAGAATCTCTCTCAGAGTTGTTATTCATTGAATTTCTTTCATTTTGAAAGCCTTTATGTCTTTTAATTTTGTCATTCCTTCTATCAGAATGTGTTAGTCTTAGGTCAATCATTTGACCATTTATATAAATAGTTGCTGTGTATATATATGTAGATAGTTGAATGTAAGCAGTTAATGTGTAACTTTGTGTTTTCTTTTTTTCCTTTGGAATAGTGACAGAAATGTTGGTGAATGTTCTGAGTATTTGCTCTGATGATGAACTGATGACTGAAGGTGAAGACCAGTTTGATGGTATGATTATTCATTTTACTATTTTTTTCATTGTGAAATGGTATCTTTTGAACTGCCAGCTTCAGTACACACTCTTTTGCAAAATATAGTCATTGATCTCAAATGACTATGCTATTTGATAAGTAACAGTCACTTTTTCAGATATTATTTTAAGATTTTTAAAATAACTTTAATGATTTTATTTTTGTTCATTTGTTTGTATGGGAAAGAAGATGAATTTTGGGGAAAGGAGAATTTGGAAGAAAGAACAGAAGGAAAGGAAAACTGAAGGTGTAAAAGGATGTGGTTCTTCATGAATATAGACACTGCTAGAGAAGGAAGGATAAAAATGCTCTTTGTTTTATTGGCACAATACTGCTTAGTGCATCAAAATTTTGTTACTTCTTTCCAAAAAGAAAAGTAGGCTGTCCCAACTTATGAGTGAGTAGTTGTGTTCTAAGAAATCACATGCTGATTAAGTTTGAGATTCAGAAAGCATATTTTCCATAGAAACAAGGTTATACTAATACAGGGTTGTTAGTTCTTATGAAAGCCAACCAGCCTTTGTACTAATGTGCATTTGTAGTATAAATACTACAGATACAGAAACAAAACTCCTTTTATTTTTTGTTTTGAAATTTTTATTTTAAACTTTTAAATTTAAATATTCATTTAAACTTAATTCATTGAGTAAATAAGTACATAAATAACTTATAAGCTAAAAACTTCATTTTCTTCCATATCCCTTCATATCTTTGTTGTAGCATACTTTTCATAGTTATAAGCAGTATATAAAATGTTCCCATGTATTAAACATGGTTTGTATATTGGTAAAATTTAATGACTACTTATTTCTAAGTATATTAATATATAATAGTTTTCATAGTTAATTTCATATTTTTTGGCATTTGGGTAACTTAAGATATCCTATTATGAATAACATAATAAACATTTGTACAATAGTTTTTATTTTCCTTCTTGGAATACATTTCTAGAAGAGAATTATAGAGTAAAGAATATAAATTTTAGCTTTATTATTTTAGCTATGAATTGCCAGATTACTTTGCAGAAAAATTGAACCAGTATAAAGTGCTTCTAGCAACAAATCCATACATCTATTTCTCCACAGGCCCACCTCATTGGATTTTGCTCATTTTTACTTATTTTGCTTGGTGGCTATATAGTAAGAAATTATAGTTGGTTTAATTTACATTTAATTTACTTTTCCTTGAAGTTAAGGGAAGAAATTACTGTCTACTTTTCTAACAATATAAACCATCCATTTCAGTTGATCACTTATCAAGTAAAATCTGAGTAAAAACTATTTTGATATTTCTCTATTTACAAGCAGGTTTGATTCTTAAACCCTGTTGTAAGCCCGTCTGTTCAAAGTGTCTGTGTACAAGTGTCTGCAATTGCCATCTGTTGGTGGCAGGCAGAGATATGCTTTTTTTCACTCCAGTTTGAGAGTAAAATAAATTATGTAGTTTTTTTTTTGGGGGGGGGGCTTTACTGAATAATACTTATTTTTCCTTATTTTGATTATCTCTTTCATGTTTGTGTACAAGTTTTAAATTTTAACATGTTTCATATTTGTCTTTTCCATACAATTTTTTAAAAATATTTTTTATTGATTTCAGAGAGGAAAGGAGGAGAGAAAGATAGAAACATCAGTGATGAGCGATCATTACTGATTGACTGCCTTCTGCATGCCCCCCACTGGGGACCAAGCCCACAACCCAGGCATGTGCCCACACCAGGAATCAAACTGTGACCTCCGTGTTCCTAGGTTGACGCTAAACCACTGAGCCACGCTGGCTGGGCTATACAATTTTTAAATAGTTTTAATTAAGCATTTCTTTTCCCTGTTCTGCTACCACCTTTTTAAGGCTAGGTCTGGGTTCAGATTCTAGTTCCTTATAATGGCTGTGTGGCCTCAGTAAGTTACTCAACCTTTCTGAGCCTCAATTTTCTTATCTTCTAAGTGAAGATAATGGTAACTACTTCATAATGTTATAGGTATTGATATGACTGAAATAATTTTTGGTACATAGCCCACTAATATTTTCAGATACATTTTTGTGTTAATTTGCCAAATTCTGTGAAATACCTAGTATGAGTTTTCATTGGGTTATATTAAAACCATATCTAGCCCTAGCCTGTTTGAGTCAGTGGATAGAGCGTTGGCCCTCAGACTAAAGGGTCCTGGGTTTGATTACGGTCAAGGGCACTTAGCTCGGTTGCAGGTTCTAGCCCTAGCTCTGGTCGGAGCTCATGCGGGAGAAAACTAATTGAGGTGTCTCTCTCACATTGATGTTTCTCTCTGTCTCTTCCCCCTCCACTCTTTCTAAAAATCAACAGAAAAATATCCTTGGGTGAAGATTAACAAAAAACAATATCTAAATCTAGGAAGTTTAAAAAATTTAGTTTTCCAAACTAAGATCAAGCTCTTTTGCTCTATATAATTAGTTCACTTACTATCTTACTATAATTACTCTATTTAATACATAATTATTCCATTTAAAATTATAATTTTTCTTTGAAAAAAATCTGTTATTCTCAAGTTAAATTAATACTTTAATATTTTATATTCTTATTACTATTATAACTGGTTATCTCTGAGAATATATAAAGTAATGACATATTTGTGGGTTTATCCAGTGTTCAACAGCTTAGATCAGAAAAATTATTTCCTAAGATAATTTTTATTTTGTTTCTCTTAACTTAAAAATAAGTCATTATCAAAAAGCTGATACTATTTATTTTCTATATTGTTCCCTTTTATTCTTTAAAAATTATATCAATATTGCTAATAGTATGTTAAATAGGAGTGATGATAGGTAATGCTTCAGTCCTCTTCCTATAATAAAAAGAAAAAAAGTTTCTGCTAAGTCTAGGATAGTATGTGGTTTAAATACCTATGATTTATATGAATATAGACACTAAATCTTTTTTGGAAATTTGATTGGAAATATAAAGTACTATTATTATAGTTCTGAGATTTAATGTGTCTTATCAATATTTTCCCTGTCAATGATAAATTATGCTTATTCATGCAATTGTTATATCATTCTTACCCTCCAGGGATGAATCACATTTGATTATTAAAGAGGCAGTGTGGAAAGGATCAGTGGGTCAGGTGTCTCAGCGCTACCATTATACTTCTAGCTGTGTAATCCTGGAAAAGTTACCTAATTTCTCAGGATCTTCTCATCTGTAGATTGAGGGAATAATAGAGAGGATGAAGATTCTTTCCGGCTCTTAAGTAATTTAAAAATTGGTAGCACTATTTATGACAGTGTTTCTATAAGAAAATAAAATGAATTCCTTTTTTCTTCACCTTTATACTCAGGTATTAGAAGCAAGGATTCCAAGAAAATCTTAAGAGTATGGGTCTTAGAGTCTGCATGGGGGAATGAGAGTGAGTTAGTGGAGGAAGAACACTGAGGAATGAGGAAAGGGGAGAAAATTAGGATAGATACTGGGCTGGGATAGGGAAAAGAATTTCAGGAAGTAGGTTTATTTTTCTTTCTTATTCATATTTCTTCATTTCTTTCCCAAAACTCTGTCCATCTTTTCTTCTTTCTTTTCACCATGATAGCATGTCTTCTGTCCTCTCCTCCTTTTTCTATTCAGCAATGAAACCATCCTATGGACTGGGCCTGGGGAGAAATCCAACTTAGAAATAAAACTTGGTTGGGCAGGGATTTCTGTAGACACAGAATAAGGGTTTAGCTTTTCTGTGGGAAAAGGGAGAGAGCAAGATTGGAGATTTCCCAGTGGCAGGAAGGAAAGAGTAATTTTTGCATATTCAGTTTTGAAATTGGGTGAAGGAATAAGATTCCTTTTTAAGTTATGGCCTTTGGTTTTCTGTATTGTTTAATAATGTGTGTGGGGGGTTATTGTTAAGTCAAATATTTGCATAAACATATTGCATGTATAAATGCACATAGCATTCATTTTAGAGGTATTATTTAATTGTTAAAGAATTTTTGAACACTGATTTTTGTGATATCTTGAGTTTGGTAAAGAAAATACATAACTCATATGTACTTTAGTTTTACTAAACTAAAACTTTGCATTTCCTATCATTGGAATCATGTATCTCACTCAGCATTAGAATGGAAGATATGGAAAGCCCAGATGAAACATCTCTGCTGCCTACTCTTAGAGCTATTACTTGCTTTGAAACAGTCTGTCACTATTTCTGCAAAAAGTTGTCCCTCAAACTTCCAGATTCTATTAGGAACAAAAAGCACATACTATTGATCCTGAGTATGAGCAAAGATTCTACGCTTCAGATTCAAGAAGTTGTGTGCTCTTATTATGAAGTGCGGGAGGCTTAGTCTTTCCTTCATTGGGAGTGGGTGAGGTTTTCCACCGAGGTAGTTAATAAAGTTACCTACATTTCTCTGTATATACTACAGATTTTGCAGATGTTGGTGTCCTTGAAGAACCACATGAGTTTGTATCATATTTGTGTCATTATCTTTCACTTAACATACTTCCATGAGTGATACATTTCTTTAGGGGTATTAATATAAATGTGCAGTTGTTGTTAGCACAGTCTTTTATCAGTCTTACGTGTTTTCACATGTATTTTTGTCCCTAATTTGTCTACTCTCACTAAATATTATACTCATTCTGTCCCTAATTTCTTCTGAACACATATCTTTTAAGAATCTTTCCTTTAGAGCTCTATACAGTGGCATCCTTCTTTTATTTACCATATCCTACAATACTACGTTTTTCAAATTTCAAATATGAGGGTCTTCATTTTTCTCTCTTTCTACATTCATTCTTCAGTACCACTGCCAAGTTAAATTTCTATCTTTTTATTTGTCTCAATCACCTTTTTTCCATCATTCACTTCCTTTTTTCTGGACTCTCCATCTGAAGAACGGCTCATATATGGCAATAAAAAAGGTACAGACCAGACAGAGTAACATTGTTTTGAAATATGACTTCATAAGTTGTCCTCATGTCCATGTAAGTCAGCACATTCATTGAGTACTATTTATGCAGAGTCCTCTTGGGCCTTGTGAAAATTTAGTTTAAGTTTTATCTAAGTTAGAATTTGATGTTTTTAGAAGTCATATTCCAAGATATCTGTCTTTCTGTGCATGAAAATATTTTCCCCTCTTTTTCATCCCTCTTGTTTTTAAATTTCATTCTTTTGCTTATTTGTAATGTTTTGTACTTTTCCCTGCATGATTAGGGGTGTTTGATTGTCTGTCTACTCCCCAAAGTAATTTTACTGTGGACATTTACTTTAATATTATGCATGATGTGTTTGTAGACTGATTTAAAATCCTGATTTGTACAATGCGTTTATATTCCAATGAATTTTTAAATTTGAAATCTGTAGTTTACATAGCATTCAGTTTTACAGGTATATAAATTAAGACTGAAAATTCAATATACTTCATTACAGTCATCTTCCCCCATCCCATACCCCTTTCCTAGCTATTTAAAAAATTTTGTCAATTTTAAAAGGAAATGTATATATTAATTTATTTTAGGAGAATCAGACTTACTTTATATCCTTGGATAAAATACTTAGTAAACTTGATTTATTTGTCTATAAAATGAGGAGATTGAACTTTGCAATATCTTTAATATCTTTTCAAATTCTAATATTCTACAATTCTGGGACTTTTAGTTTTTGTTTTGTTTTGTTTTGTTTTGTTTCATCTTAAAAATACCTGTGTGGTGCCATGGTACCAACACCATTTTGGACTTGTAAAAGCTGTAGCTTTAGTACTCATAATATTGCCCTTCAAAGATGGTCATGGAGCCTATTTTCTCTAAAATGTGTCTTTTGTTTTCATCTTTGAAACTGGATTTTTTTTTCTGTTTCCTTGCAGTAAGGTCCAGTCATCGTCTTAGTTTTTAATTATATATGTTTGTGGGATGCTTGAATTTTAAATGAGATGCTCTAGCCCAGAAGACTATAATTGTTCAGATCTTTGTATACCTAAGGCCCCTTTTGGTCCAGTGTCTTTAACCTTTCCTTAACTTTCTTCTCAACCATGGTGCTTCCCTATGTGTGTTTTCATCATGCTGAAGCACAGCCCTAAGAAACCACACTCTTGGGTCCAGAGTGATTCTAGATGCTGTATATGAGATGACAGGACTGAGATGGTTGTTCTTTTTAGTGTTTCATCAGCTAAATATTCAGTTATTTTGGTATGTTCTCTTCTGTATCAGTGATAGACAGCACAGCTGACCCTTTAGAAATGAAGCATTAGAGAGCATATGAGATCTTGCTCCTCAGCAATTGTCCTCATTTTTGGCTCAAATAAAGTAATAAAAATTCTCAAAAGGAAGCAGAGAGAAAACGAAAATATGAAAGAAAGAAATGAAGCATTAGTGATCCTTTAGATGTTTTTTAGGGAGTCTTTTCTCATTGCTCACTCTCTTTGTGCCATACTCACTTAGGGAGGCAAGAACTTGTATATATTTGTATGACCTTAGAAGATACATAGTTTATGAGGTTGAGATGCACATTGTTGTTGAAATGCCTTGTATGGCCCTTAGTTCTGGGTCACCTGCATAGTAGTGGCTTCATATTATTTTTAGAGAGCAAGGGAGCTTATTTTGTCATAGCATAATGAGATATTTCCCCAGCCTGCATGTCAAAGGCTTTTATAATAGTTAAACAGATAATTATAGGCTACTACCAGCTTTTTCTGTTAGTCTGCATGCCATTGGCTCTCATGAGAATTAAACAAAGACTGTAGGGTTGTTACCATTTTTTTTGTCATTTGTTTTGTGATACAGGTTGGGTTGTAGTTTCTTTCCCATTGCCGTTTTATTAATTATTCAGTAGTGCGAGAGTCATGAAGTTTATGGGTTACTTTTCATTTTCATCTGTATCAGATCCCAGTATTAGATCAATGCCGAGCTAAACATTAAAGGAGTAAGAAGCTTTTTGGCATGAGTTTATCTAGTCTCCTCCATTTGAGCTGGTGGCAGGGGCCTGGTGTTGGTTCAAATGAGTGTGGAACAGGCTAATACAGCGGTTCTCAACCTGTGGGTCGCGACCCATTTGGCGGTCGAATGACCCTTTCACAGGGTTCGCCTAAGACCATCCTGTATATCAGATATTTACATTACGATTCATAACAGCGACATTACAGTTATGAAGTAGCAACGAAAATAATTTTATGGTTGGGGGTCACAGCATAAGGAACTGTATTTAAAGGGCCAGAAGGTTGAGAACCCCTGGGCTAATAGAATGGTGCAAATCAATGCCCTAAACCTGAGTCTTTATTTATTCCATTGAAAGTAGGTTCAGCTGCCGCTCGGAAAGAAATCATAAGAAACAAAATTCGAGCAATTGGCAAGATGGCAAGAGTCTTCTCTGTTCTCAGGTAATGATACATTTTTCTAATTATTTGTTTCAGAGAAATTATTTGTATTGTACTTTGTTAACAAGCAGTGTCCTGTTTGTCATCTAAAAGCAGTATAGTAGTATTCTCCCTGTAAAGAAGTTCTACATTTACACATTGAAGAGGGGAACAGGTTCCTTTGAAACTAGGGTTTTTGACCCTTGTGATTATTATTATTCACCTTTGGTATCTCTTGTCCTTTGTGATAAAAGAATCTATACATTGAAAATTAAAGCAAGCTAAGAAGGAAAGGGCCACTTCTTAGAGTATTTTTTATGAACTTGCTCATCTGTATAAGAAGTCCCTTTTGTTGGAGCCACAAATTGTCTTCCTGGGGCTCATCTAGGAAGGGTACACATGAATGGGTCAGTCCCATTGATGATAAACCTTACCATATATTTATTTAATAAAGGTTTTCAGAAAAAAATATATGCCTCAGTAGTAAGGTACAACCTCATATCTGAAGCATGTAGAATGGGGGAAAACGTATATCTTGCAATTGAGGAATATATGGTAATAGTAATGCACATCATAAATTACACACATGGGCTATATCTGGTCCTGTCTTCTCTTTTAAACTAAGAACTTATTGGATGTCTCTGATGTTTGTTATATCTCTGCTATAGGGAGGAGAGTGAAAGTGTGCTGACACTCAAGGGTCTGACTCCCACAGGAATGTTGCCTAGTGGAGTGTTGGCTGGAGGACGGCAGACCCTGCAAAGTGGTAATGATGTTATGCAACTTGCTGTGCCTCAGATGGACTGGGGCACACCTCACTCTTTTGCTAACAATACACATAATGCATGCAGGGAATTCCTTCTGCTTTTTAGTTCCTGTCTCAGCAGCTGACATAGGTGGAATACTCTATGATAGGTAGTATCTGATTAAATAACCTGAGCAGGGCAGAAAATTGACAGAATGAGTATTCATTTCAGTTGAAAATAATAGTCTCTCAGCTTTTCATGAAATGATATGGGAGCAGATCATATCATAATGTCTGAAATATTTATTTACTTTATTTATTTATCGATCTCATTCACCCTTTTCTTTTAAAAGCCCCAGTTTCAGAATGTGAATCCAGGATATGCTATATCGTATTACTAAAATGGAAATGTAATTTCAACTTTCTTATTTTTTTTAATTTATGTAATTGTATTCGACTATGCTTTTATTATCAGATACTTAATTTTAGAAGTAATAATATGCTTGGGCCCTAGAACATTACTTAATGCACTTACTTGCTAAAAGATTTGTGCAAGGTTTTGTACCCTGGTAAATGATGCCAAAGTTTGTTTTCTGTGGTGTTTGTCAAATGTTCTATGTATAATCGACTGTCTGTAACATGCTGTTTTCCTCCTCTGCAGATGTAGCTGCTTTCCTAAATCTGTCTGTCTTTCTTTAGGTTAGCTGTATGTCTGTAAAAGTATGTTAAATTAAATTACTCTATCGGACACTTGTCTGCCTTTTGATGTAGAAGCAACTTTGTAGCACCTTGTTTTGAAGTTTGCTGCATTCCAGTTGCTGCACTTTGTGCATTCTGACATGAATGTAACATTAGATATTAAGTCATTGTTATAAGGGGTTAAATTTAAATCCTGTAAGTCAAAATCGAAAGGGTGTTATTAAGTGTGCCTTTATTTTGCATGAAAATAAAAAGAATTATACGTAAAGCATTCCTGTAATCTGGCTCATTGAATATTTCATATTTTAAAAAAAAAACTTTTTTTTTTTTTTAGTAAATATTTGTGTAAAACACTGGGTTAACTTTTTGAAAGCCCATTACAGGTTAAATAGAAGAGAGTGTTGTGAATGTTGTAGACTATGCGCAGTAACTCAAAGTCTAGATTTCTTTCCCTTGTGGTTGGAAAGCAAAAATGTGATATGAAAGCTTAATTGATGTTTTATTGTAGCCACTTTTGACATCCCTCCAAGGGTCACTTCTCTATTAAAACAGGCAGCAACAGATCCAATGTTTTCCTTAGTCATGATTAACAATTTCTTTTTGGTGTTATAATTAGGAAATGTTTAAAGCAAAAACAAAAGGAAATTTTAATTTAAAGTTTAAGATAAATTTAAATTAGATTGGTTTTTCACAATTTCATTTCACTCAATCTCATAATAAATGCTTAAATAAATAAAAATAATATTTCCTGTAGACAAATAATTTCTACTTGTAGCCTATTTATGTTGTATTTTATATGTTATTGTGTTGTCTGCTACCACCACTGGCATATGTGAGAAATACAGCTATGTTTTGAAATTGTAGTTTCAAATTTTTATTCTGATTGAGGTCTTTTTTATTTATTTATTTACAAATCTGCTTTTATTTTTTTTATATCCCTTGCCCTCCATTTTTTATTATATTGCAAACATTAGACAAATGAACTAAAAAGAATTTGATTGAAACAAATTAAAATCTTAAACATTCAATAAAACTTGTAACAGTGTTAATAGAAAAAGGATGAATTTTAATAAGCTTGAAAAATGTTATACCCTTCCCCTTCTTTGTTCAGAAAAGAAAAAGAAAACTGAAAGGGTTTCATATATAAATAAATCATCCTTGGATATATTATTACTTTTACGTTGTTTCCACAACAAACCTTTCTTTCAGATTTCACAATTGGCACCTGCTAATTAGTGCTTTGTTGGCAGTTGGCACTTCTGTTTTTTTAAATTTGCATGCAGCCTGAAGCTCAGTTTTCCACTTTGAAATCACCCCCAACTTCAGGGAAGGTTTGAAAGACAACTCTACTGAAGGAACTGTCTATTTCTAGCATAGAGTGAGTTACTGGTTAGTGCTGAGCTAACAGGGTCCAATTTTGAAAACTAGATAGCTCCCTATTTCTGTCAGTGATGGGTCATGATAGAGTGGTTTGACCATTTGGTTGAAGTGATTTCCCTAGCATAAGATTAACTTATTTTGAAACAAATCATGAAACTCATACAAAAGCTGCAATTTTGTGTTTGTTTACAAGCTTATCTAACATTTTAAATTTTAGTAGATACATTTCCTGATGTGAATAACTGAGAATTAACTATTGCAAAAAGAAAGTTTTTATTTTTATTTTTTTTTTTTATTTTTATTTTTTTAAATATATTTTATTGATTTTTTACAGAGAGGAAGGAAGAGAGATAGAGAGTTAGAAACATCGATGAGAGAGAAACATCGATCAGCTGCCTCCTGCACATCTCCTACTGGGGATGTGCCCGCAACCCAGGTACATGCCCTTGACCGGAATCAAACCTGGGACCTTTCAGTCCGCAGGCCGACGCTCTATCCACTGAGCCAAACCGGTTTCGGCAAGAAAGTTTTTAAATTCTAAGAACTCAGTTCTGTTGTTCAGAAAACAAAAATTATGTTCTCAATAACTTTAATGTTAATTTGTGATATTTCTCAAGTGTTACTACAAATTGCACAACTCTATTGCAGTCGTATTTAATATTCATATTTTTTGTGCATTTTCTTCATGGAAATTTGATGGAGATCTAGCCCTTTATTGCTAACTTCATCAAGACCTATATGGGAAAATATATGGCCATCTCTGTTTTTAGTAGTGTCTAATTCCTCTTGATCATTTACCTTGTGTAATATTGTGGAACACAATTTGAGACAGCACTATACTCAAACTTTTTAAGGCCATGTCAAGATGTTCTATAAAACTGAAAACCAACAAAGGAAAAATAGTGCCTTTCAGATAGAATTTTGCAATTATCAGATCTATTTCTTTTCACTTTAATGTTTGCTTCAAATTAACTTTTAATTCTAAGTTTGACATTCAAGTTTGACATGGTATGCAGTTTTGAGTATGATAGCTATTTTGTATTCTGCAAAGAATTTAGAAGCATTTAGAGGCCTCGGAAAAGGACAGAGATTATCATTTGACTTAGAAAACATTTTTATATATCAAATTAAAAGCCCATAGAACAATTTCAAAAGTATAATGTCACATTTCATCATTTTTAGTTTATTAGCAGACTTAAACTATTGACACACTCAAAAAAAAAAGGACACGTGACATCCTTGAACTTAAAAAAAAACTATAGACATGCTCAAATAAATACTAATTCTTATAGTGACCTGTTTTTATTTTTAATTGCCATATATAATACAAGTTATAAAATATTTCATGTAAAATTACTTCTGTTGCTACAAACTCTAAAAATATTCTGATTGGCATTTTCCCCCATTCAGTTTCTAAATTATAAAGAAAAATAGTCCATATTTTGAAGAATAGGTGTTCTAAGGCTGGCCAAGAAAAGATAGGTCATTTATCCCAGTTTTCTGTCTGGGAAAATTCCAAGAGTATTGTCCAAATGTACAGGGCTAGATTTTGTAAATGGTGATTTGTACAGTGGTATACAATAAGTATATCTGCTTTGATTTATATTTAATGGTTAAGGAGTATTCTTCTCTTTCTTATTCAGTGTTCATCCTACTTCTTTTGGGTCCCCATTTCATTTTAATATCTGGTTGAGATCAACAACCTTTTGTAATTTAGTCTACTTTAATTCCTTAGACTCACCAATGTCCTTTCACATTAAAAATTGTTTTGGATAAAATTTATTTCTAAATGATATATACTGCTAAAACGTTGTTTCAAGAATAATTCTCCTAAGTGGCATATTCTAGAAGAAACAAAATAGAAGGGATATGGCATTATTGTTGTAAATATTCTCAGTGTGTTTATTTGGATAATGTGGATGATTGGCAATATTGTCAGGCAGTATTGTCCTCATTCTCAATGTGTTTTATACAATTTGAACCCAGAAGTGAGCTAAAGGAATCTTTGACTATAAAATGTATAACTAAATATGTTGAAATTCTCTAAATGAGGTAGAGACAAGCTTTACCAAGAATGTATCTCTTATTTATATGACCTATGTATATGTTCATATCATGAAATAATTAGGATTTATTGCCCATAAGACCTCAGTTCATTCTCTTGATTCCTCTCTAGTTGGTAGCTGGGTTTGAAAAGATGTTAATAGCCATTTATCTGTCTTTACTTGAGAATGTAAGTTATTAGTACCTGTGGCAGATTTGAGTTCATGATAAACTGAACATAAGTGGATTTTATTAAGGCTATAGATATTAATATCTTTAGATATTTGGAACACCAATGTTAGAATAGAAAGGAAGTTCCTCGTAGACAAGAGGGGGGTCCTTTTAGGTTACCCACAAGCAACAGAGCTACAGAACTGTTCTACTTAATGCAATTCACCAAGTTTACTGCCCTTAAATTTCATTGTAGCCATACCAACTTTTGCAGCTTATGCTTTGCCCTATGAATCAGAAGCAACAGGAAGAACATTGCTAACTTTTCCTAGTTTATATCTTAGGGAACCAACTGGTGATGAGTATTACTTTAGAAAGTAAAGAATCTCTTTGTTCTCCTGCTACAATTCTACCATCATAATTTCACCCTAGAGAATTTCCTTGCCATTGTGAAGGGTATGATATAATAAACTTGGAAAATTCTAAGGCCATCAGAATACTGAACTCAAGATGGGTAATTAATACTGGAGTGCATTTGCATGGGTGCTGAGGTGTCTGTGTATACAGAAGGTCTGTGTGTTCTGTGCTCTGAGCAATGTTGTCATAGTGCTGTGTGTAAACTGTGCTGTATCAGGAAGGGGGATTGGATGGGGCTCTCTAATATGGGTATTATGTTAAATTGTAAATGATGATGTAGTACGGGGTACTGTGATATTTTAAGTGATCATTGCCTTTTCTGCTGTACAATATGACCCTTCTCATCTCTCTCATTCATTTTGCATGCCTCTGCTCACTTCTGTACAGCCACAGTTGAGGCTATTGAGGCTGAAAAAGGTACGATCAGAGTCCTTGCGCTGGGCAGGGAACTGTGGTGTGTGGGTGGGCATCAGAGAATGTCCTGTGGGTGTGTCTTACTCCTATCTTGCACAACCCAAGATGAATCAGACTCACTGACTCATCCAGTTTGTCACATTTCTCTCTCTCTCTCTTTCTCTCTCTCTCTTTTTAATCACAAGTACTGATTTCCATAATGACAATCTGGGTTTACCCTTTTTATAATATATTATCCAACTAGCATTTAATGTTTCTGAATTCTTTAGAGTACATCATGTTATGCTATAATATTATAGCATTTAAAGTTGCATATAAAAATCTATTCCATATTTTGCATGATTCTGTGCTACTCAGATTTTCCCCCTAAGTTAAACCCACTCTAGACATAAGTGCAGAAGCTGTCACTATGATTTTGTTGTTGTTACAGTTTGGGCTAGTGTTTGCTAATAATAATATATTCACATATTGCCTTAAAATTACACATTGGCAAATGCTTTGCTGACTCTGAATACCAGGATTTACACATATTAAAGCAACCAGATTACAATCAGTAGTATGGAAATCTTTTCTATGCACATTTTAATGTAGGGTACATCATTCCAGATGAAGTAAATGAGAAACTATAACAATTGGAGGAGAATTACCATTTATTTTTATGAACACGCAGTGGATGGCCAGTGAATTAAAGATGACATCTTCTAAAATATGAAACTATAAATATTTTTTTTGCTATCAACCAAACACAGATCTAACTCCTGTAGGCATTTCCCACCTTTTTTCTTTTCATATTGGTGGTGATGGAGTGATGATACCTTGGCCTTAAAGATAGGTCTGATCTGTTAAATTTTAACTTTACTTTTCTCCTCCCAAGCTTTTGACACAGATTTGTATGTTGAGGATTAACCTTGTTTAGCCTCCTCACTTGTCTATTATGGATGCTGCCTTACTGTGATGGTCCTGGTGATATTGGGGTCTGAGGTAGGGGATAATTGGTGTAGTAGAAATCAGACTGAGACCCTGAGACCATTGCCTAGAGGTTGATTTTGGAGAAGGGAGGGTTATTTTTGTGTGTGTTTTTTTAAAGGCTCTGCTAACACTTGTCATCTATGATGCTGTCATGTCTATATTTAGTTTTAAACATTTCACATTTTAAGGGGAAGTCTGGAATGGGGATAGGATTAAATAAGATTTAAATGTTACTACGTACAGCTAATGTCTTCTTAAAACTTATTGATTATGTTTTTGAAATCTCAAATGTTTTTCATTTACTGACTTATCAAATTTGCATTTTGTTAAGCAATACGAGGATTCTCTCCACCACATAGAATCTGCAGTTTTGAAGAGGCAAAGGGTTTGGATAGGATCAATGAGAGAATGCCACCCCGGAAAGATGCAGTACAACCAGATGGTTTCAATTCTCTGAACACCGCACATGCCACTGAGAACCACGGGACTGGCAACCATAGTGCCCAGTGACCCACGGCTTCCCAGGGACTCACATCTCGGGCCCCAAATGGACAGATTACCCGAGAAGCTGGAGGGGTTGGCCAAGCTGACTGTAAATGTCACAATCCCTCTGGAGAAACCATTGTGCTTTTGAGACCTCAGCCCCCTTCCTGGACGAAGGCTTGAGGGCCCTGGGACATATTGTGCTATCTGATAAGATTGGGTCATCGCTGCCAAGGTAGAGAGCAGTGAGCAAGGGGCTTGGGGCAATTTCCGTTGGAGGGCCACTGCACCTCCATTTATGCTTGTGGTTCACACATTTAAGTTTACAAATGAGATTTCTTTTTCCCTTCAGTAGAATTAGATTTTCTTTTTCAAACATGACTTCAAATGCAATCCTAAGAGCTAACGTGGACATTTTCCCCCATGGAATGTCTTTAAAGGGTGAACTAGCATGGTCTTAAAATACATTTCTGAGGTTACTAAGCTGTATTTTGAATTATGGTCTGAGAAATGCTGAGAAACCCAGTTGGTGTTTATACAAAATGCTGACCTCAGGTCTATAGTTCTTAAATGTGGCTAATTCTGTAATATAGTCTTGGAATTTTTTAATTATGAATGCACAACCTGTTTCTAGACAGACTCTCTTACTTGAACACAAATCCAAAAACTAATTCAGAATCTTTTTGTCCAGATCTTCTGAGATTTACATCCCAGAGATTTAAAAAGAAAACCTCTAAATTTCAAAATTAATACAGAATTACAGAATTACTCATTTAAGATACATTAAAAGAAATTTGTACATTGTCAAAGTAAATTTTAATTCAAATCATGTCTGTAAAACTTGACGTATTTTGTGTATGCATGTTTTCATTTTGCAAATATTTAATATATAGACCTATGATGTACAGGTACAACATGTATAAGTTACCTAGATGTTATGAGAAATTTTAGTTTATTGTGAGTACTCAAGTTGCTTAAATAGCCACCAGGATGATTTGCTGCTGGCTTTTTATCATTTTTTATGTTTTGATGCAAAGGAAATTTTAAAATGATCTGGAAATGTTTTTGATTAAGCAATGCAGCATAGAAGCAGCAATGGTTCTATTCAATCATTCAGATGTTAGTGGAGGCATAAAAGTCAAGACTGCATGTTGAACATTTTCTTTTGATAGCTACAGAACTGCTTGGTTAAATTAAATGGAACCATGTGCTCATTTTCCACAATTATTGAACTGTATTGATTGCCACTGTAGTTTGGTATTTCCCTTTACTTTGGTGGCCTGCTTCCCTCATTCCCTGGAATACAACTCAGAGCTCCAGGCAGCGGAACCATCTATTGTTTTGTTTGCCAGAAATTGTATCCTGTATGGTCTCCTGTCTGAGTTGGAAATATTATGCATGTGCAGGACTATCTGAGTATTTTATAAATAGTAGCACACAATAAATTCCATGCATGGGCCGCTGCTCCTATCTCTGTGTTGGGTTTTATTTGGATGTAGTCTGATTTGACCTTCTCATGCATATCAGAAAATCCTGTTAATAGAACTGGGATGTATCTTTCAGAGAAGATTATCTCATGAACAGTTCCTGGTAATTTAATGAATTAAATTCTTGTCTTCATAAATTTTGCTTTTTAAGAAATTCTTGTTACACTTGTTTTGCATGAGCAATAGTAACTGAGCATGAGAGGACTGGGTGCCTATTATATACAGATAGGCCTTCTGAATCTAATATTTAAAATCACTGTTTCACTTAACTTTTAATTGAAAGAAAATCTTATTGTCTAGAATTTTGTTACAATATGCTTGGAAATTTACTGGGTGTTTTAACAGTAAGAAAAAAAGATATTAGTGATAATGCATTTTCCTGCCATCATATTCCTTTTTTCCCCCATAATAAAAATTGGTATAGAATTTTGAAAATTGAGGGAAATTAGAATATTTTTTGACATTTTATACTAATCTGATTATGTAACAGCTTTAATTGCAGTTTTCAACAATGATTATAATACACATTCTAAAGCATTAATTTAAGTAAAAATGTATATATTTGCTTACTTGCAGGTAGCAAACAGAGCTCAAATTGTTGACTATTATAACTTCTTTTTCTTTACTGACCAGTGGGTGACATTGATTAATAAAGTTATATAGGGTTCAGGTGTACAATTCTGTAATACATAGTCTGTATATTGTATTGTGTGTTCCTCACCCAAGTCAAGTCTCCTTTCATTACCATTTATCCCCCTTATACCATTTTCTACCTCTCCCACCCCCTTTTTTCTCCAGTAATCACCATATTGTTGTCTGTGTCTATGAGAGTTTTTTGTTTTGTTTTGGTTTTGTTTTTGCTTCATCCCTTCACTTTTTCACCCAGCCCTGCAACTCCCTTCCCCTCTGACAGATGTCAGTCTGTTTTCTATCTATAACTGTGTTTCTATTTTCTTAGTTTATTTTGATCATTAGATTCCACATATAAGTGAAATCATGGTACTTGTCTTTGACTGGCTTATTTCACGCAGTATATGCTCTCTAGGTCCATCTATACTGTCACAAAAGGTAAGATTTCCTCTTTTTTATGGCCAAGTAGTATTCCACTGTGTAAATGCTTTTTTATCCACTCATCTACTGATAGACACCTAGGCATTTCCAGGTTTTGGTTGTAAATAATATTGCAATGAACATAAGGGTTCATATATTCTTTTGAATTGTTTTGAGTTTCTTCGAATATATTCCCAGAAGTAGAATACTGGATCATAAGGCAGTTTCATTTTTAATTTTTGGAGGTCATACCATACTGTTTCCCACTGTGGCAGCACCAATCTGCAGTCCCACTGATGGTGCATGAGGGTTCTCTTTTTCCATGTTCTGCCAACACTTGTTAGTTGATTTATTGATGGTAGCCATTCTAACAGGTAGAAGGTGATTATTTCATTATGCTTTAAATTTGCATTTCTCTGATGATTAGTGATATTGAACATCTTTTCATATGTCTGTTGGATATCTATATGCCCTCTGGTGAAGTGTCTACCTGGGTCTTCTGCTCGTTTTTTAATTAGATGGGGGTTTTTTTTTTTATGTGTGTTGAGTTGTGTAAGTTCTTAATAAATTTTGGACACTAGCCCCTTATCAGATGCATCATTGACAAATGTATTCTCCCATTCAATGGTTTGTCTTTTCATTTTGTTGATGGTTTCCTTTGCTGTGCAAAAATATTTTAGTTTGATGTGGTCCCATTTGTTTATTTTTTTCTTTTGTTTCCCTTGCTTGAGACAATATATCAGAAAAAATACTGCTAAGAGAAAGATTTTACTGCCTATGTTTTCTCCTAAGATTTTTATGGTTTTGAGTCTAACATTTAAGTCTCTAATTTATTTTTAGTTTATTCTTGTATATGGTATAAGAAGGATCTGATTTCATTCTTTTCCCACATATCTGTTCAATTTTCTCAACACCATTTATTAAATAGACTATTTTTACCCCATTGTGTGTTCCTTTTTTCTTTTCTTAATCCTCACCCAAGGAGTGAGGATATTTTTTCCATTGATTTTTAGAGAGAGTGGAAGGGAGGAAGATGGTGGGAGAGGAGAGAGAGAAACATCGATGTGACAGAGACACATCGATTGGTTGTCTCCCATACTCAGCCTGACCAGAATCGAACCTGCAATCCCAGTAGGTGCCCTTGACCAGAATCAACCAAGGTACAGTAGTAGGTGTGCAGGAGGCTGCTGATTGAAGTTTCATTCTCACATTGATGTTTCTCTCCACAGGCCAACACTCTAACCACTGAGCAGTGCCGGCCAGGGCCCCCATTGTGTGCTGTTACCTCCTTCATGAAATACTAATTCACTATAAAGGCATGGGTTTATTTTTGGTCTATGTATTCTATGTCATTGATCTATATATCCGTTTTTAAGCCAGTACCCTGCTGTTTGATTACTACGGCCTTTTAGTATAATTTGATACCAGGTAGCATGATACCTACAACTTTGTTCTTTCTCAAGATTGCTCTGGCTATTCAGAGTCTTCAGTGGTTCCATATAAATTTTTAGGATATTTGTTCTAGTTTCGTGAAATACGTCAGTGGTATTTTGATAGGAATTGCATTGAATCTATAGCATGCTTTGGGTATTATGGACATTTTAATGATATTAATTCTTCCTCTCTATGAACATGGTATATGCTTCTATTTATTTGTATCTTCTTCAGTTTCTTTCTTCAGTGTCTTACAATTTTCCAAATACAGGTCTTTTATATCCTTGGTTAAATTTATTCCTAGGTATCTTATTCTTCTTGAAGCAATTGTGAATGGGATTGTTTTCTTAGTTTTCCTTTCTGAAAGTTTATTATTGGTGTATAAAAATGCAACTACCCTGGCCCAGTGTGGCTCAGTTGGTTGGATGTTGACCCATGCCGGTTCTATTACCGCTCAGGGCATATGCCCTGGTTGCAGGCTCGATCCCCAGTAGTAGGTGTGCAGGAGGCCGCTGATTGAAGTTTCATTCTCACATTGATGTTTCTCTCTGTGTATCCCTCTCCCTCTATCTCTAAAAATCAATTAAAATTTTTAAAAAATAAATAAAAATTTAAAATGCAACTGGTTTCTGGATATTTATTTTATATCCTGCTATTTTACTGAATTCATTAATCATTTCTAATAGTGTTTTGGGGGGAGGGGTTCGTGGATTCTTCAAGGTTCTCTATATACAGTATCATGTCTTCTGCAAATGACAGTTTTACTTATTTTTTTCCAATTTGGAGGTCTTTTATTACTTTTTCTTGTCTTCTCCTCTCTTTTCTCTCTCTTTGATCTCTTTCTTGCATTCTTCAAACTGTCTTGAATTTCTGTGCATTTTCAGTACTGAGGAAGCAGATGGCCAGTAGCTCCTGCTTGGGGAGCTCGTCAGCAAAGTCAGACCCAGGTCATTGCCTGTGTTTGGCTTTAGCTCCATCATTGGCATGATATAGTTGGCACATATCTTCAAGGTCTTATCCCTCCTCATGAGGAGTCTACGGCTAGGACTTCCAGTACTATGTTGAATAAGAGTGGTGAAAGTGGACATTCCTTTCTTGTTCTTAATATTAACGGAAATGCTTGTAGTTTTTGTCCATTGAGTATGATGTTGGCTATGTGTTTGTTGAATTATGTTCCCTCTATTCCTACTTTGCTGAGAGTTTTTATCATAAATGAGTGGTGGATTTTATAAAAAGCTTTTCTGCATCAATTGATATGATCATGTAGTTTCATCCTTCATTTTGTTTATGTGGTGTATCATGTTTATTGATTTGCAGATATTGTACCAAAGCTTGTATCCCCAGAATAAATCTGAATTAATCATGGTGTATGAATTTATTAATGTATTGCTGGATCTGGTTTGTTAATATTTTCTTGAGGATTTTTGCATCTGAGTTCATCATGGATACTGGCCTATAATTTTCTTTCTTTGTCGTGTTTTTATCTGGTTTTAGAATTAGGATAATGCTGGCCTGGTAAAATGAGTTTGGGAGTCTTCCCTCCTTTGAATTTTTTGGAATAGTTTGAGAAGGATAGGTGGTGGTTGTTCTCTGAAGTGAATCTGAACAGCTTTGCCCTCATTTTGAAAAGCTTCTCTTCATCTTCTAGTGTTTTAATTTCTTGCTCAGGAAGAGAAACTATAGGCTTAAACTGAGGGTTGTGGTTGGACTCATCTGCATTCTCAATGGAGGTATGGTCCTCATGAATGTCCTTGGTGGCCATGTGGCCGCCTGGGTGGCTCGGCACTGGCTCGGTGGCTCCTTCACTCCAAGTCTGGTGCTGGCACCAGTGCCTCCCATACCTTCACCTTTAATATTTTCTTGAGGATTTTTGCATCTGAGTTCATCATGGATACTGGCCTATAATTTTCTTTCTTTGTCGTGTTTTTATCTGGTTTTAGAATTAGGATAATGCTGGCCTGGTAAAATGAGTTTGGGAGTCTTCCCTCCTTTGAATTTTTTGGAATAGTTTGAGAAGGATAGGTGGTGGTTGGTTCTTTTTTTATTTTATTTGATTTAGAAACATCGATGAGAGAGAAACATCGATCAGCTGCCTCCTGCACACCACCTACTGGGGATGTGCCCGCAACCAAGGCACATGCCCTTGACTGGAATCGAGCCTGAGACCCTTTAGTCCACAGGCTGACGCTCTATCCACTGAGCCAAACCAGTTAGGGCTCTTTTTTAATTTTTTATTTTTTTAAATTTTTGTTGGAATTCAGTTCCCTTGTAAAAACAAACCGAAAAGAAGGACAGGGCAAACTTTTTTAAAAAGTAAAGGAAAAAAAAGCATTGCTTCTCCTCAGCTTTCTCCTTGGTGTCCTCGTCTTCAGACTCCTTGCTCTCCTCCACCAAAAGAGCTTCTAGCTTTTCAGCCACTTTCTCAGCATTATCCTTTTTGCCCAATCCTCCTCTCTTTTCTCTCTCTTTGATCTCTTTCTTGCATTCTTCAAACTGTCT